GAGTGTGGGGTGGGATGAGTCATTGCCCTTGTATGCATAGGTTGCCTTTTACCTTTAGCATTCTGCCAAAGTTTGGTCATTCATAGAGAGATCCTTTTGCTGCATTGAACCCACTCAGGCATTGATGAGATCATTTTAGTCTCATAACCTCACCCTAGCCAAACTGTGTTTGTTTAAACAATGCATAATTTGATCCACTTGGTAAAAAGCTTAATGAATGTGAAAGAGTTGAGAGAGAGAAGAACTTGTGGAGATTCCTTGTTGAGTTGATATATATCTGAGTATGGCTTTGCATTGCATAATTGAGCATGAACTTGAATTCTCATTGTGATCACTTCTCTCAAAAAGGAAATATGAACTCCCAATGCATTCAACCTCTCTCTCTCATTTGTTCTTTTTGCTTGAGGACAAGCAAAGGATAAGTGTAGGGGAGTTGATATGTTCATAATTTGCATCATTTAGGTTGCATATTTCATTCCAAATCTTGTTTTATTTCATGCATTTTAGGTCCTTAGGGTTTGTTTTAGAACTTAGGAGATGCATTAGGTCCCAATGAGTCTTTTCATGTTTTGAGTGTTGATCAGGTGTATTTGGCGCTACTTGGAGCTGAAAAGATGAATCCAGGAAGTGGAATGGTGATCAAGGCTTGAAAATGGTGAAATTGGGTTTTTGGAGGTTCTCGGCCATTCTCGCGTACCAGGAAGGTTTTTATCGGCCATTCTCACGTACCGCGGGTAGACTTTATCGGCCAAAACGCGTACCGGCTATTGAATCTCTCGGCCAAAATCTCCGGGTGCAGACACGTTTCCGAAATCACATGTCCGGGGAACATTCCGGTCCGATTCAGCTGTCGGGTGCTTCATCAAAGTTGGAGAAGATTGGATCACGGTTCCAGAGCAAGTAGAATCATGGAATTCGGACGCGTGAGCAGAAAGTTAAGCTCGTCGGAAGAAACTCCTGTCTCGCTGCTGTTTTGGACCAAGCCGATGAGCTCTGAAGAATGCGAAGAACGGTGCACTTCCAGGACGATAGGGTTTCTAAGGCCTTCATGAGAATCAGATATATTTGAGTCCTCTTTCTATAACGTCCGGGATCATTCAATTCGGAGCTATGAGCAGGAAGATACGGTCTCCGGAATGGATACATGTCTAGACGCCTCTCTCTGATCGTGTACATGCACTGCGAAGATGAGCCCTCCAGGAAGCCTTCCACTTCCCAAGCACCGAAGCTTCCTTCACCAAAGTTGAAGGTATATGAGTCCTATGTCCTTTGAAACCAGAAGCACACAATTCGGACAAGTATTTTAGAAGTTACACTCTGTGGAATGCGAAGTGGTCCAAACAGCCCTGAATTATGCGAGCTAAGTAAAACATGCCGCGATGGAATGCCACGGTCCACACTTGACCATGGCACTTATTTGCAATCCTTCGGTGTTTGACACGATCTGAATGCCATGGTCTACACTTGACCGTGGCAAAGTAGCATTTGGCCGGGAAGAACTTTACAAGCATTCAGCACTTGACACGGTTTCAATGCCACGGTCTAGGACTTGACCGTGGCAACTTTTACACACCTTCGGCGTTTGACACGACCATTTGCCACGGGGCTTGACCAAGAGCTACTAGACCGTGGCAATCCAAGAAGTTCATCACCCGAACCCAGAAAAGAAGAGACACGGCCACTAGACATGGTGTAAATCAAGCCATGGCAACCTTGATCATGAAGAACCTGTCCAAGAACTTTGAAACTATCAGTTTGCCACGGTCTTTCCAAGCATCATCTGACCGTGGCAAACCACACCACTATCCATCAAAGCCGGAGACACTATATATGCTTTTTAGGGTTTTTTCCAAGACTTAAGCTTTGTTTTCTCTTGTTTCTCTTTCCCCTTTTGTTAAAAATCGAGTTTGTTAAGAGATACCTCAAGGATTTAATCAATCTAAGTCTGTTTCTTATCATCTCATCTTCTTATCTTTGCTTCTAATCATGATTAACATCACCTCTTGCAAAAGATTACGTGTGTTAAGCATGATTAGTGAGTAGTCTTCTTTTAAGCTTTTAGGTGTGTAGATTAGGGTGCTTTAATGTTTGATTAATGATGTTTAGGTTCTAGATTCTCATTTCCTTTCCTTAGTTAGCTGTTCTTAATGCTAGATCTCTCATTATAAGCTTGATCTAGAGCTTAGGCATTTCTCCACCCACAAGGTGTTTGATGAAATGCCTGAATGAGCTAACTTAAGGGTTTATGTTTTAAATGCCATGAGAATGTTTGTTTAAAGCATAAATGACATATTAGAACTGTTTATTAATGCATATTGATCATCATTACCACTAATGAGAGTTAGGTTTGAATGCTGATTAGTATAGTGATCATTGTCTTGGGATAGAAATGGTCTTGCTTTGAGTTCTAAGTTGATTGGAATTTGAGATCATGTGATGCTTGCTTTATCATTCTGTATAAGATTCAGTCTTTCTTAGCTCTTATTTTGATGCACAAAGAGGCTGTTTGGTCATGTTAGACTTGGAACCTTATGCTTGTTAATTGCTTATTCACTAATGGGAATCAGTCTTGATTAAGTAATTTGCAAAGAGATTTCTGTCATGAGAATGAATTAATCTGCTTTGGAAGTCTAGACTAAAGAATTGCAAGTGTTGCATTGTTTTCTTAGCATCATGAGTTAAGCATTGAAAGCACCCTGATCAATGATCACATCTAAAGGTTTAGCTTTCTCTTTATTTTGAATTTGAGTCTTTGTTTTGTTTGTCTTGTTTGCTTGTTTAATTCTTAATTACTGCTTGTTCTTGTTTTCTTTATGTTTTTAGATCACCTTGTTACCAACTCATCTGTTTAGTTAGACTTGGATTAAGAATTGATTCTCATAGTCTTAGTGTCTAGAATCTCTCCATTTGGATTGATACCTCAAGTGCTACAATGGCATGAGTAGTTGAGGAATTGATCAAGGATTGAAAAATCCCTACTATCAGAGACAACTAGATTTCCATAGCACTTTACATCACGAAGATCCAACAGTGCAATAAAAAGATACTGGAGAACAAGTTGACCCAGTTCACCAGTCCCGGAAGACTCTCACCCGCAGGAAAACCATGTTTTACCTGTCCTGGAAGACTCTCAACCCCGGTGGACCTTAGGACGAGCCATAAGGCCCAACATCAAAGCCCACTTCGCCATTACTCTTCAGAGAAGACCTAAATGAGACCTGGAATACCCTAGGACCTATAAATACATTTCTTAGTAGTCCTAAACGGGTGTGTGCTCCTGTAATGAGATTTTGAGCCACCAAACTTTGTTTTCTAGGGTTAGGCGATGGAGATGGGGATTCTTCCCCAGATCCATTGTTATTTCTCCTTTTTATCTTATTAACTTTTCTGTTTCATTCTTTTGCATTCTTCTATGTCTTTTATCATTCCTTACATCATGTAGATTAGTCCCAGAGAGTCAAGTTGTTTGAAGATTTCGATAGGTACACATATCGATTAGGATTTCTATAGTTCTAAACCATATTCTGGATCCCATCTCTTCTAAGTTGTCCATATTGCATGAAAGTAGATTCATGACCTATTCTCTGAGCCTAGGATTGATCAAAACCACGAGAGTGTTGTATCAGATCATCCATACCTAGCTTCAGAAGAACATAGTCACTATAGGAGTCGAGAGATACCTATAGAGAAGATGTGAGCAGATGAAATCAATGTTCAATGCATGATCTTAAGTTTAGCATGAGAGCGAGAGTTAATTGCTAGATCTAAGAGAGTAGTTGATTAAGGTGACGACAGTTGGTTAATCATACATGTGTCTATCTAGTTCAATGCAGATTCCCAGAAACAGATGAAGATAAATCGCCCGAAAACTAATTGGAAATGCCACCATACATCGATTAGAGTAAACCGGAGAAGACTAAATCGCCACCTATGAGTTTAAGAGTCTTTAGTTTGAGTCGATATGCTTTAGATGTTCTTTTAACAATTCATCATGCATTGCATTTCTTGTGAATATTAGATTAGGTTTAGTTTAGGACCTTAACCAAAAATCCCAAACTTTTATTGGTTTATGAGTTTGCTTACTTCCCAGTTTGTTGTTTCTTGCAGATTAGACACCCTCCCTGTGGATCGACATCCTAAGTCCTACAACGTACATCTGTGCACTTGCAGATATTAGAGTTTTATAAATTTAAAACTTTTGGAGGACCAACGGACTTGTTAAAAACAAACCCTAGGCCTGCAAGCCCATCAAACCGCCCCAAAATCAACATTCAATCGCATGAATCATCCTTCAATCGCCTGAATCATCCTTCAACCATTCGTTTCAAATGCTTGTTACAACCATGGTTTTAAATGCTTTTTCTAACCACCCTTGTTTATTGGTAGTATTTCTCCAATCGCCGTGGCCATCTCAACGGTTAATGTTATCAATTAGATCCAACGAAAAAAGGCATTTAGAACAACAAATGGTCGTAGGCAGTTGTTTTTATAGATTTTTATGAATACATAGTAAATTTTTTTTCTTTTGTATGTGATGGAAAGAAAAAAAATCATAATATATATATATATATATATATATTGTGTATTCAAGTCAATTTACAAAAGATGATATTGGTTGTGTATTTTGTTTTTCTCGTCTTAAAAATTATTAATTAAAAAATATAGAACAACTACATAAACGATTGTAGAAAATAATAATAGTGTATTTCAAAATTATTAAAAAATATACATATTATTTTAAAAATAATAATTTTTAATCTACGTTTATTCCAAATTCATATGAAAAAATTTAAAATATATATTCTTTTATTATTTTATAAATAATTATCTCAAAATATATATTAATAATTTTATAAAATCATACTATTCAACTGCTATTATATTTCCAATCAAGTTTTTTATTGTTTTCTGTTACCAAACCATCTTATAATATTTTACTCACAATAAAAATTTCCTAATTCTCCCAAACGAAAAAATAGAAGAACAAATGAAAATGTAGCAGTGAATAAGCAAATAGGGAAGCGTGCCAGTGCTCTCAAAATCACAATCTTTCCATACGTATCGATCACGTCATCTCCTTTGTCTTCTACCCAACTAAGACGAAAACAAACCTTCTCCTTCTTAAATCCACACTTCAGCGTCCTCTCCGAATCTCGCTCCACCGGAAAAAATGGCGACGAATCCGCTCAAATCCGACGCAATCATGGACATGATGAAGGAACATCTCTCCACCGACGCAGGCAAAGAGCTCACGAAGAAAATCGGTCTCGTATATCAGATCAACGTCGCTCCAAAGGTCCTATTTTTATCCTTCTCCTTCTTCCTTTTTTTTCCCCTTCTGTTAACTTTGCCCTTATTCGAATTTCAGAAATTAGGGTTCGAAGAGGTTACTTACATCGTCGATCTTAAGAAAGGCGAAGTCACCAAAGGTGAGCAAAATTGAGATTTTGATTTTTAAGCAAAATTGAAAATTAGGAAAAGCCCAAGATTTCGTATTGACGGTTCTTATCAATTTTCTTGAAAATGGTTTCAGGAAAATATGAAGGAGGGAAAGTGGATGCAACCTTTTCCTTCAAAGATGATGACTTTGTCAAAGTTGCTACTGGGAAGATGAATCCTCAGATTGCTTTCATTAGGTTTGTTCATTTCCTCTGAATCCTTCAATTTGTCGTCCATTATTACAATACAAGTATGTTTTGGTAGTTTTTGTCTTTTGTCTGAACCAAAATCTGTCATTAACAACAATAAACTCAAGCTTCCCCAAGAGTTTTCTTTGATTGCATTGATGCTTACCCAACTGGAAACTCAACTCTCTTGATTCTCTTTATAGATTTTGTATTGTGTTTGGAATTAGTATGTTTAAGAGTTTTGTTCTTTTGTCTCAACTACAAAACTCATGCTGGAAACACTATTTCTTGAATTATTTCCCACAAGCTTTTTGTGTCACTTGGATTTGGTTTTAAAAGTTGATCTCTGAGTCCTGTGAATGTTTGGTTTCTTGATTCTCTTCATAGTTTCTCTTTAGAAATCTTGGATTGGGTTTGGAATTAGTATGTTTAGGAATTTTGTTGTTGTCTCAACCAAGATATACCATTACCGACAGCAAACTCATGTTGGAAACACTAATTTCTTGATTTTTTTCCCCTGAATTTCACAAGCTTTTTGTGTGACTTGGATTTGGTTCAAGAAGTTGATCTCTGGAGTGCTGTGAATGTTTGGTTTCTTGATTCTCTTCATAGTTTCTCTTTATAAGTTTTGAATTAGTATGTTTAGGATTTTTGCTGTTGTTGTCTCAACCATACACCATTACCGACAAAAAACTCATGCTGAACACTTTTTTTGATTTTCTTGCGTTGAAGCCCATAAGTATTTCGTGTGGCTTGGTTTTCGTTAAGTAGTTGATCTCTGAGTCCTGTGAACGTTGAATGTTGACGCAGGGGTGCGATGAAGATTAAGGGTAGTCTCAGTGCTGCGCAGAAATTCACCCCGGACATTTTCCCAAAGCCGTCGAAGTTGTGAACAACAAAAAGAATGGTATTGCTAACCCTTGGACTCAGGCTCAATTTATGTCTTTCCAAAGGGTTGGCTCTCGGTGAAGTCGCTAGAAAAACTCAGAAATAAAGTTCTCTTCAAGTATCTTTGTATTAATCTGCTTCACTTTTATACTTTTGGAACAGAAATTGGTATTGGTTTTAATAAAATGAATTTTTCTCTTTGAAGATCTTTTCTAATTTTGGAAGATTATCCAAATCTGCTTGGTAACTGGCAAGTGTGTAATGTATCAATACCTTTATTTCCTCTAAGTGAAATCAAACAGAATCATACATGGGAAAGTAATTTGCAGACTCATCTGTGTTTGTTGTTGGTGTAAGAAAAAGAAAAAGAAAAAAACAAACAAAATATATTGAAGAAAAGAAAAACGTATTCAAATTTGTTTCACTTGTGAGACTTCTTCCTTGACAAGAACATGAAAACCTTTGGAAACAAAGAAAGCTTCTTCTTCTTCTTCTTTGTTTCAGGGGTCAGATTATTGTTGTTAGTGCCTCCTCCAATGTTGTTGCTTCCGCTTCCTTGATCACCAAACGCAAACGATTTCGACTGCCAAAATCCGTTCTCCTTATTTCTCCCCTCGGTGCTTGACCTCGTTGGGCTTTTCTCAGGCTCTCTCCCTTCTTCTGTTCTCCTCTTCCCATTCTCTGACCTCCATTTTCTCAACTCTTGCTCCATACCCAACTTCCCATCTCTAGCCTTTTCAGCTTTTCCCATAGCCTCTTTAAGCTCTTCTTTTCTGACGCTCATCTCTCTATTCACTTCCTCTAGTTTTTCCAAGATTCTTGACTCTTCCTCTTTAGCCATTTCTATCTGAGACACAATCTCTGATAGCCTTGTGTTTGCCTCCTCCTCAGACTCTTGTGCCTGCTTGCTTAGCTCATAGTATTCCTCTACAGAAATTATGATACTTCTCGGTGAATTATTAATCTCCTCAAATCTCTGAGAACTTTCAGTCTCTTGCAGAGCTTTTATTGCAGCCAAGGCCAACTTCTCTGAAGCTCTAGCTGCCTCCATTTCCTTTTTCGACTCAATTAACCTGCTCTCTATCGTAGACATTCCTGCTTTCGCTTGTTCAGACAATTCCTTTGCCATTCTAAGCTCGTCTCTAGCAGCTGCGGCGTACAACTTTGCATCCTCTGCCTCTTTCGTCGCCTGCTCCAACCTCTTGGCTGTTTCCGCCACCTCCTCTCCTTCTTCTTTATCCGTTTCCCTGACCAAACCCGCATTTTCTCTCTTCTTAGTTTCTGCTAAATGATGTTTCTCTCGTCCAAGCTCTGACTGTAATGATCCAGCGATTATCTTCAATGTTTTCACTTCAGAAGCTGCTTTCTCAATGTTGGATTTGACTTCTTCCAGCTCTCTCTTGGCGGAATCAACCGCTTCGTGAATGTCATTAGTGCTCTTCTTTTCCATCATCAGATTACTGCTTGAAGCTGCTAATTCAGCTCTCAAATCATACTGAAGAGAATAAGCAGTCTCTAGCTTAGTTTTCACATCATCAGCTGCACGAATCTCTTGGTTAAGCCTCTCGATATCATCTTCCACCATTTTCAGTTCCTTTTCCCAATTGTAAATGTCTTGGTCCCGAGCCATTGCTGCACCGAATCTCTTCTCTTCTGCTTCGAGATGAGCTGTATGCGCTGATTCCAACAATTCCTTAGTGGCAATTAGCTCTATACTCAAACCATCCATCTTCCTCTCAATCTCTTTAGCTTCCATAACAGCAACCTCAGCTTTCTTGGCAGCTAAATCTTTTTCCCTCAACAAATCTTTATGTTCATTACAAACCATTTCAATCTCTTCTCTAACAGACCGTAGCTCAGAACTGGCTGACTCGTGTCTCGCTTTAGCTACCTCGAGCTGCGCTTTGACAGCGACGCTGGCGTCATTAGCAACACCTTTCTCCATCTCCTCAACACGCATCTGCGCGAGCTCCGAGTCCTGTTTCGCTTGTTCCTCTTCCTTTTGCGCTTTCTCTACCTCGAGTTTTAGCTGCTCAATGAGTCCCTTTGTTCTCTCTAGCTCCTTCAACGCATCTTGTTTCGCCTCTTCAGTTAACTCAGCTTCTCTCTTGTACTCAGGCATAGCTTCTTGTATCTTCTCAAGCTCTTCATCAACCATCTTCCTTCTCTGAACATACAAAAGACACAAATCTTTAAGAACAACAAAAAAAAGATCTCATGGGAAAGAAACATCATGTTATATTGAAACCTCTATTGTCTGAATCTTATGAGCTTTCCAATCTGTGATCCCTCCAAACTTTGAAACTGCTTCCTTCACAGACTCGAAAGGTGAAGCTGTATCAATCAATCCTACGGGAGAACCAAAACGAGGAGATTCCACAGATCTCTGATACACAAAAGCTCTAGGAGAAGCAGGAACTCTTAAGCGAGGCGAAACCGGCAATATCCTCGCATCTTCGATCACATCGATTCTTGAATCTTCTGAGAACGAGTCTTGATGGCTTATCACCACCCTTGGTGCGACATAAACCCTAGGAGATTCAAAAACTGGGCTCTCGAGTTGATCCGAATCGAAATCTTGAAACGGGTTATGCGAATCTCCTCCTACATTATCGTCGAAGCTCAAGAAGTCGAAAGACGTCGAGTTCCTCACCGGAGCTTCACTGTCAGGTGCTTCACCAATGGCATTGAGAAATATATTAAGCTCGTCTGAATCTTTATCATCATCGCTCAACATTGTTTAACGATTTTGAGAAAGACGGGTTTTGTCTGATTTTTTGGTCAAACCTCAATTCGCATTCATTTCTTAAGATCGACTTATTGTTCTTGGGATTATCTGTCTGAAGAAATTCATGAAAACGAGAATCGGATTAGTCCATGAAAACAAGAAAGGTTTTTTCGGACATGGAAGTTTAAATTTGACGTACCTTTAATCTGACAAATGCGAGAGACGAAGATTTTGTTGTTCAGAGTTACATCATTCGATTCGAAAGATTTCGGAAAGGAAACAACAGAGAAAAAATTCAGACAGACGATGTGACCGAGTATTGGAAAATAGAAAGAGAAGTGGACGGACGGCCAATAATGAGGAGCGTGAAGTGAACGCGCCTCTATTCTCTCTCCTTTTTGTTATTTTTTGTTCTTAGATGATTATCCCGGTCCACGAGCAGATTTTCGGTTATAAAACGGGCTAGAAATCTATATTTTTCTTTATCTAGTGTTAGAACAAAAATCTTATTTTCTTTAATCCGAAAAGTACTAACCGAAATAGCAAAATTTAGCCCACTTCAACTTACGTATTTGTTGATTTTCATATCATGATAACTCCATTAAAAGACAAATATATTGATGTTTTTAATTTTGTTTGTTGAAACTTTATTTGAGATATCTTTAGTTAAAGAAATTTATTTGAGATATCATAAATACTTTTGATGACCATATAAAACAAAAAAAAAACCTCCTTTTGATTTTACAAACACCTAACTAAAGGAATTTTTTTACTTGTAATCCCGATTTAGTTATATAACATTATCTCCACGTACTTCACAACAAGATTCACCATATCAATATTTCAAATTATCTGCATTGATATTATTATAAAACAAAAACATTTTATATAGTTTAAGTCAAGAAAGATGCAATACGCTTTTTCGTCATGATTTTAAATAATACAGAGAAATTTATTTTCATGCTAAACGTTGTTAGATAATTCTTAACTTGCTTAGGAAGATATCTCTTTAGGAAGTTGTCTAAAGGATAAACATAAGGATTTATTTAATAAGGTTTTAGATATAGTTTAATATCTAGATAAAGTTTTATATTTCCTTTATCATATAGAATTAGGAGAAACTAATATCTATATAAACAGAGTCTAAAGAGAGATGTTCCTTAAGACTAAGAAAAAGAGATTTAGTTTTGAGAAGTTTCTAAGTCAATAAAGAAGAGAAGTTCTTTACATCTAAGTTCTTAGCACATTAAATCTTATAATTGGTATCAGAGCAAAGTTGAGAAAAACTTGATCAGAGGAGACCTGTGTGTGTGAGTTCGTGAAGACAAGATGGGAGACGTAACTCAAACGCAGCGGACAAAGGAGCTCGGAGCTCCGTCAGTTAAATGTTCGATGCTATCGACCACTAATTACACTGTGTGGGCGATGAGGATGAAAATCTTGCTTCGTGTAAGCGAAGTATGGGATACGATTGAGCCAGGGTCTGCCGATCCAAAGAAGAATGATGTGGCGACAGCTCTGCTCTTCCAATCTATCCCCGAGTCACTTATTCTACAAGTCGGAGAGCAAGATTCCGCAAAAAAGCTGTGGGATGCAATCAAAGCGCGTCATCAGGGAGCAGACCGTGTGAAAGAAGCTAGATTGCAAACTCTTGTAGCAGAGTTAGACCGACTAAAGATGAGTGATTCAGACACGGTTGATGAGTTTGCGCGCAAGATATCAGGGATTGCAGCTCAATCAGCCTCGTTAGGAGAAACAATCGAGGAGACTAAACTGGTTAAGAAGTTCTTAACAAGCCTCCCTCCACACAAATACATTCACATCGTAGCCTCCCTGGAGCAAGTTCTAGATCTCAAAACAACAGGCTTTGAGGACATAGTCGGACGCATAAAGGCATACGAAGATCGAGTGGGGGGGAGACTCGAAGCGAAGACCAGGGAAAGTTGCTGTACGGAAACTCGAGCAGAGGCGGTGGAGCTAGGGGAAGAGGAAACAGAGGCGGTAGAGGCAGAGGGAGTAACAATTCTGGTAGAGGCAGAGGTCGAGGAAGGACTAGCGAGCAGAACCAGAGTGAAACCAAAAACCAGAAGCCTAAGAAAGACCTCTCCAAGTTAATCTGCTGGAGATGTGATAAAGCAGGACATTATGCAACACAATGTCCTGAGAAACCAGTACATCAAGAGACAAACTTGAATGAAACTCAGGAGGAGGATGCTCTTTATGTTCATGAAGTGGTGCTTTTGAACGAAGACAGGGTGTTTCCGAAAAATTACAAGACAAACTCGGAAAGTGAGTGGTATCTAGATAACGGAGCAAGTAATCACATGACGGGTAATGTGAAGTTCTTCTCAAGTCTAGACGACAACATAAAAGGAAGAGTAAAGTTCGGTGATGGCTCGTATGTCAATATTGTCGGCAAAGGATCTATAGTGTTTATAGGAAAGACGGGTGAAAGAAGGACACTCAACGACATCTATTACATACCGGAGCTCAAGCATAACATTATCAGCCTAGGACAAACGACTGAAGGAGGGTGTGAAGTAAACATGAAAGGTGATGCTTTAACACTAAGAGACCAAAACGGAAAGCTGCTGGTCCATGTTACTAGGTCAGCAAACCGACTTTACAAAACATCCATGGAGATAAGCTACCCAAAGTGTCTTTACGTTCAAGATAATGATGCTACAAAAACTTGGCATGCAAGGCTTGGTCATATAAACATTGGAGTAATGAATAATATGATCAAGAAGGAGATGGTCATTGGTATGCCACAATATACACACGAGAAGAATATATGTGACGTGTGTATGGTAGGAAGTTACCGTGCAACTCAAGCTTTGGAATTGATACATGGAGACTTGTGTGGACCAATAGCACCACCAACACCAGAAAATAATCGATATGTATTCGTTCTCATTGATGATTTTTCAAGGTTCATGTGGTCAATCTTGTTAAAAGAAAAGAGCGAAGCATTCGATCGGTTCAAAAGGTTCAAAGAACTGGTAGAAAAGCAAACAGGCCTATCTATCAAAACCTTTCGCACCGATACAGGAGGAGAGTTTACCTCATCAGATTTCAATCGTTTTTGCGAAGAAAGAGGGATCGCAAGACACCTAACTGCACCATATACGCCGCAACAGAACGGTGTAGTCGAAAGGAGAAACCAAACTTTGATGGAGATGACAAGAAGCTTGCTTAAAGCCATGAGAATCCCTAATGAGATGTGAGGAGAAGCAGTAAGGCACTCGACATACATCATTAACAGAGTTCCCACTAAAGCCTTGAGCGGTCAAACACCATATGAATGCTACACAACAAAGAAACCCAACGTTGCTCACTTAAGGGTATTTGGCTGTGTTGCATATGCAAAAATCACCAAGCCTAATCTTAAGAAGCTAGATGACAGGTCAAGGACGGTGATAAACCTTGGGACAGAGGAAGGTTCTAAGGCCTATAGGCTCTATGATCCAATCACAAGAAAGGTGATTGTTAGTAGAGATGTGGTGTTTGATGAAGAAAAGGCTTGGGACTGGTCTGCAATCACAAACAGCTCAGACGGAGAACCAGGCACCTTCAAACTTCATCTAAGAGGTCACATTGAAGATGGAAACGGACATGGTGATTATCACAACAACAACGATAATCACGATCCGGTTCAAGAGCATGAAAACCAAGATGATGAAGAAGAAGATGTGAATGAGCAAGGAGGTGAGGACGAAGGAGCTGAAAACCAACAGATCATGACAAGATATGGTCGCATGATAAACAGACCAAGGTATCTAGATGACTACGTTCTTTTGGCTGATCTAAAAAGTGTGAAATTGTTTTTTACAATCGATGGAGAACCAGAGAACTTCTATGAAGCGAAGAATCTGAAAGTATGGTGTGAAGCCATGAAAGCCGAATTGGATTCTATCACAAAGAACAAAACATGGGAGCTTGTAGAACGTCCTGAAGGAGTGAAAGTCATAGGATTGAAATGGATTTTCAAGGTTAAGAAGAAGGCTGATGGATCGGTGAACAAATATAAAGCAAGGCTAGTTGCAAAAGGTTATGTGCAACAACAAGGTATAGATTTTGAAGAAGTTTTTGCACCAGTTGAAAGAATCGAAACTATACGTCTCCTTATAGCCATTGCTGCAACAAAAGGTTGGGAAATTCACCATCTAGACGTTAAGACGGCGTTCTTAAACGGAGACTTAGACGAAGAGGTCTATGTAACTCAACCAGAAGGCTTTGCAAAGAAAGGAGAGGAAGGCAAAGTTTACAGATTATATAAAGCTTTATATGGTCTACGACAAGCGCCCAGAGCTTGGAATCTCAAGCTAGACCATGTTTTAAAGGAGATGAATTACACTAAGTGTGTCAAAGAACCATTGGTTTACTTCAAGGAAGAAAGAAAGGATTTCTTGATCGTAGCAATATACGTTGACGACCTATTTGTTACAGGTTCTTCGAAGAGAATAATTGACAAGTTTAAGCTGGACATGTCAACAAGATTCGAGATGTCTGATCTCGGAAAGCTATCATACTATCTTGGTATAGAAGTAATTCAAGGAGCAGAAGGAATTAAGTTCAAACAAGAAGGCTATGCTCAAGGAATTCTTGCAGATACTCAGATGGATACGTGTAACTTGACTCATGTTCCAATGGAGTCGAATCTAATGCTATCAAAGGCGGAAGATGAACCGGAGATTGATGCTACACAATATAGAATGGCTATCGGATGTCTAAGGTACCTCATTCATACACGACCAGACCTATCTTCTGCTGTTGGAGTCTTAAGTAGGTACATGCAAAGTCCAAGAACTTCTCATGGACTAGCACTCAAACACGTATTGAGGTATGTGAAAGGAACAACTGAGATGGGTCTGTTCTTTAAGAGAGATAGGACGAGTAAACTTGCTGGTTACAGCGATAGTAGCCATAACATTGATGTAGACGATGGGCGAAGTACCTCAGGGCACATCTTTTACTTCGGCTCGTCACCAATCACATGGACATCTATGAAGCAGCAAACTGTCGCAATGTCGTTTTGTGAGGCAGAATTTATGGCTGCAACAGAGGCAGCGAAACAAGCCATCTGGCTTAAAGAATTGCTGAGTGAGATACTAAGAGTGGAAGACGAAAGGGTCCTGCTAAGAGTTGATAAAAAATCCGCCATAGCTCTTACCAATAATCCAATGTTTCATGGGCGAAGCAAGCATATACTTAGGCACTACCATTTTGTTCGAGAGTGTGTTGAAAACGGACAGATAGAAGTCGAGTATGTACCAGGCGTGGAGCAGAAGGCAGATATACTCACCAAGGCGTTAGCAAGGAACAAGTTTAAGGAGATGAGAAGCTTAATCGGAGTTCAAGCTATACATTCACCCAAAGTTCAAG